TAACCCGCGTTGTTTACAATTCGAATAGCTTTCTTCCAAAATGCAAAAAAAATCTTTTAATGAGGGAGTGCTTTTGCTCCAGGCGGATTATTTATAAATTGAAAAGTAAACACCACAAAAATTCTCTCCCATACTGCAGTGTCCCGATAATTGTGATTTCTTTATTCGTATAAGGTAATTTAATTTCATCCCTATTAAGTTCACTTGTTCGTGATAGCCGACCCCATAAATAAAACTCAACACGTTAAAGCCCTACTTGGGAACAGTTTCTGAACGCGGACTAAAATTCTAACACTTTAATTTTGTACCACATTTTAATCATGTTTATATAACTGTATAATTGGTAAGATTTCTGGGAATCTCTATGAATCTGAGTATCTGAGTATTGTAACTCAATGTGGAATCCTCACACTAAATGCAACATAGAGAAAGTGAATCGGAGGCAGTGCAGAGGCGGGCAGCTCGCTTCATCACCGATGATTGTAATAGAGAAAGCTCAATTAAGCCATGCTCAAAAACCTCCAACTCCCAACACTTTGTCAGAGACGACATATTAACCGATTAGTTATATGCTACACAAAACAGTCCACAATAACGTAGATTTGCACCTTGAAGACCACCTGAAGTTCAAGACAAGGGATGTCAACACTAGGGAAACAAGATCACACAACCCTCTATCATTAACAGCCCCTCAACAAGAACTAAGCGCCTTCGGCAATCATTCTTCCCTGCAACAGCCAGGGACCAGAATCAACTGCCATATAACATCGCATCAGCTCAGAATTCAGTCTCTTTCAGAAAAAAGAGAGAAATTCTGTTTGATTAGATAAGACGAGTCTCTGACCTCTGACCTGAATTGAGTGATGTTCCAGTTGGAGTTTTCAATTAACATTCAGATCCAAACCTGATACTTTGATATGTTCTTCATACGCCTCGACAAAATCGAATCGCCGTGAAGCCAAAACTCATGCATTCAACTGTGACAAGGGATGCGAATTATCCACGCATGGTGTTACGCTCCGTACCTTGCAGTTTATAGGCACTTGCTCAAACGCGCAGCTGTCATCTCCTGAAATGGCCGAGTGGATAAGCTAGGTGTTGAAAGGCATACAGATACGGGGTTCGAATCCCAGTGCCGTCTTTTTTTAAGGTTTTCAATTTTGCATCCCAACTATAAAGCAGTTAATTTACCATCCTGAAGTACCAACAGTACCTTAGCCTACCGGGTAAGCTCTTCTGC